ATAACTCAACCACACAGTTATCACCATTACTATCAAACAACAGATTATCAATCGGCATGGCTAATATACGTGAACAGACCCACCTGAAGTACAAGATGTCGGCACACTGCCTCCGCTCGTCAGACCCATGTCGAAGAGAGCCTTCGGCTGACAACTCTCTATTCTGTTTAAAATCAGAATTCCAAGTCTCTTGAATTTCCCTCATTTATAGTCTTAATTCGCTGATTCCGCGTGGACGACAAGGGGGTAGATAGCTCCTCCCTTGTGTTCTAATTTCCTAAAGTTAGGCTTTCATTGGGTCTTATCGGGATGTGGGCAGACCCCCCGGGCGTCTGATCGCTGCGTAAGCAATCTCTTTCGATTCTCCAGTGCCCGAGTTAGGCAAACTTCTGGCGCTGTGAGGACACAGCCTTGCTGGGCAAGCAGATTCCTGACCTACTTGCCATTACTGATGTTTACAAGTTGCGGCAATAGCTGTGCAACACTGTTCGCTCGTCGCGAACATTTTGGGCAGTGGCTTACCTCTACTATCTCAAATTTGGGGCACAACACAACATGAAACTCATTCCTGTGTTCACAAGAACCCACCATGGTTTATTGCATAACTGTATTTCACCAATATATAAATAAAGGAAACAAATGAGTGCCAATAGACATGGTATCATGTCTATACATACTTGGAAATTGTGTTAGTAATAATCTTACAGTAACCATTTTAAATATCTCCATTTAATTTTAGGGCCATAATTTGGTAGTTTATGATGTTCATCAGGAGGCAATGGAAGTGTTAAAGGAACATGGAGCTACAGTATCACAAAGTCCAAAGGATGTTGCAGCACAAGCTGACCACATCATTACAATGTTGCCAAATAATGCATGTGTGCTAGAAGCATATCAGGGAGAAAATGGCATTTTTAAGTAAGTGGTATTTAATAGACAGTGCTGACAAAAGTATATTTCTCTAATGTGTAACCTCTTTGAAAAGTTAATAAAATGCTCCTGAAGAGCATGCAATTTGAGAAAATTCAGGAATGTAACTCTAAGACAATCCAAGAACATAACGTCATTTGTGATATTGTATGGATTGATTGAGTTCATCTTCAGTATGTTCGTTCTTGAAAGCCATATAATATCCCTTTCTGACTTCCTAAATCTATCATGCCTTTACCACAGACCTTGTACCTATCATTTTAGGGCTTTTGACAGACCTTCCAAGCTGCTATGGAGGTAGTGTGTTACCACTTTACTTTGCCTAATTAGGTTCTCTCCAGCCTCAGATTTTGGCCACCTTCTGCAACTAAGGCACTGAATTTGGGCATGTATTATCCCTGCACACAGTATTCATTATAGAAAATATAAATGAAGATGTGAAATAAACATCCATTGAGGAGGTGAAGTGGGAGAAGGGAAACAAAAAGAGAAGGGAAGGGAGAGACAGATACAAGAGAAATGATTATGGGAGAACTGTGAAGAATAGAGAAGGATTTGTCATAAAATACCTACCCTGGTGACAGTGTAATAGATGACACTTTCAGTAAACAGCTAGTGTAGTTCTGAAGTTCCAGTCAGCAATATAAAGACACTGCTTTCAAAATCGGCTCAAAAATTGCCGAGAGTCTGTAATCATAAAATTTAGCCTATGTGATACAGAATATCTATGTTAGTCTATTTCGGAGATAGCTGCATTTATTTTACTTTATCGTGCCATTTTGTACAGTGCATCAAACTGACATTTTTCTTCTACATGGCCAAAAGACATCATCCTTGTATATACAGTTTTACATGTTGAAAGTACTCTATTTGAAAGAAAGAAATGAACAGTGAGACACTAAGAAGTATTACAGATTAATCAGAATAATGAACTACGTTGGTAGGCTGAAAAGTAATGCACACATGCTTGTAGAGCGCGAACAAAAACAAATAGCAAGATCAGGCAAAAAGTACATTAAAGTACAATTCTTAAGTTTCAAAAGCATATATTTATTTTTCAATATAGTCACCGTTAAGGCTAACACATTTCTACCAACGTGTAACAAGTTTTTTCATTCCATCAATGAAAAATTCTTCCGACTTTTCTCAAATCCAGGACTTGACAGCTGCCTTCACCTCATCGTCCGAGGTGTAATGATTACCCTTGAGGTCTCTCTTGAGTAGAGGAAAAAAATAAAAATTGCAAGGCACAAGATCGGGGGAATAATGAGGGTGTGGAATCAGTTCAAACTTCAGGTTTCGCAGAGCCTCTTCAGTTGCGCACGAGGTGTGTGGACGAGCGTTGTCATGTTGCAAGATTATTGGCGCCAGGCTGCCTCTAACACGACAAACTCGACGCCGGAGTTGTTTTAGAGTCTGTATGTACTGAGAAGAATTTACCGTTGTCCCTCGTCAAAAGAAGTTTTTTGGCGGATGGTTGTGTTTTGAACTTTTTTGCCTGAGGAGAAGACGGATGTCGATATTCAGCGCTCTGTCTTTTCTCTTCCGGGTCGTAACGATGGACCCATGACTTGTCCCCCATCACAATATTCAAAAGAAAGTCGTCTCCTTCGTCACGGTGGCGCTGCAAAAGTTGCTCGCAGCATTCCAGTCAACGCTGTTTGTTCTCGTCTGTGAGACGGCGTGGTACCCATCGTGCACAGATTTTACAGTATCCCAGTTGTTCAATAATGAAGCTGACACGTTCCTTGGATATTCCAATATGGTTTGCGATACGCTTTTGAGTGATTCGCCGGTCATTTTGAATCAAATCGTCGACGAGTTTGCGATGATTATCGTCTGTGGCAGTGATCGGACATCTGCTGCGTGTTTTATCAACAATTATGGCTTTTCCAGGCTCGCAACTATGAAATTTTATTACCCATCGATTTACAGTAGACCAATCAACAGCATCGCCACCATAAACAGCCTTTAAACGATGATGAATCTCAGTAGGAGTCACTTTAACAGCAGTGAAAAAATTCGATAACAGCACGCTGTTTAACTCGCGATGACATAGCACTAGAATACGTCTCCATACTTCGTTTCTCGAAATACACTGGATGAACGCAATGACCTCAAACCCCTCAAACCTGCGCATGCGTATTGAGGAGGAATGTTACTTCCGAATGCCACCTGGCGCACTTCTGAAGGTCATTTCGTTGGCACTCTACAAGCATGTGTGCATTACTTTTCAGCCTACTTACATATAAAGCACCGTTTCTGTGATGTGCAAACCATATTCCATGGATCACTTGTTTTCTTAGTGGTTCTCAATAATTTTTTAATGTTTAATTTCAGTATGAATGCCTACCTAAAACTAACTTTCTGTTAATTATACAATTCCAAACATTGATTCTTTTCACATGTATATCCTTTGATTTGTAGTTCTAAGGTAGGAGCATGGAAAGTTAAAGCTTAGAATGATTTCCAGTTGTGGATGATTTTGTGATAGACAGTGCACTGTGAAAGTGGAAGTTTTTTTTATTTCTACTATGCCTGATCACTTGTGTTCTGTATTTCTGGATTATATTGAACATTGGTAGTACTGTTGCATTGCATATTTGTAAATCATCCAAACTGTTATATTAACTCTTTGACTGGCGCGAAGGGTATTTAAATCTCACCCCTGTCCTGGCAGGCCCTTTAAACCTTATGTTGCTAAAATGCATTTAGTTGCTATTTCCTAAACAACTTCAACAAAAATTGGTTTTTAAAAACGAAATTTTCAGGAACTAATTAAAATACAATATTTTATGCAATAAATGCCTTTCCATACCTCTTTATTAGTTTTTCTTCGTGTGATAAACATTGAAACATGAAAGTTTGCAGAGAGCCACACCACAGCCTGCACACATGATACTTGTTTCTTTTCTAATCTTGTGCTTAGCACTCACGCGACACTTTCTCAGGGCACCATTCTTCTTGTTACTGGGAGGAACATGGACCATTTTGTGAATTTTCAAGCCAACCTCTAGACGATTTACTGGCTCTTTCACTGGTGGTTTTTTCAAGGTCGAGGGCGGAGGCGTGACTGCACTCGAGTCTGACGCAATAGATTCGTCATCCACTTCATTCCTTGACTCTTCTCCCTCTCCAACCTCTTTGTTTGGTTCAGTCATTTTTCTACACAGTCCAATAAAAAATCTTTGAATCTGTAATTTCTCTTCTTGTATTTTTCGTTTGTTGTGTTCTTTTTGAATAGAATGAAACTATTCAACCGCAAAGACATGTTTTGTCCATACCATGGGTGTGAAATAGGAGCCTAGTGGACAAATATTCTTCAATTTCAGGGCGTTTGTCGATTCCTGTCATGAACACAATTCCTAAGTATGTCCAGATTTCATCTGATGTGACATAATTGTAATTGTGTTTTCGAGAGTGAGGAGCTAACTCATGTGTGTTGAAGTGCTGGTGAGCATAGCGATTGGTTTCAGTTGTGATGTGATTTACCAAGTCGTCATCCAGAAAAAATTTTAATCCATGAAAAGGGATGCATTTTATGTGTTATATCAATTTTGATCCCGAAACTATTAGCAAATGGAAATATTGGGGGTACAATGTCTCCGTACGTTCATGAGATGGGCGCGTCAGGCACCGCACTCGTGGTAGGTAAATGTTCATAATTACTGTCTTGTGGATCATTGTCTATCACTGTATTATTGTCACTATCAACTTCATCCAATTCAGGAATCATTAATTCATCGCCACTATCATCAGAACAAGTCTCGTTCACAACATTTTCCAGCTGGTCTGTAGGAACACGAAGACACTTGCTGCAAGAAGCCATGGTGAAACTGAATGAATGTGATATATTTTCTGACCTTTTCCTTCTCAGAGGGTTCTGACAGTAATATAGACCCCCACAAAGTTTACAAGGGTTCTTTACAAACATGCACAAAAACTATCATATATATGTCTTTGGTTGATGAGTGCCAAGAGAGCAAAGAAGGGAAGAGATTGTCAAAGTGTTAAAACACACCAACGCCAGGGAACGGCTGGCATCGTCCGGGCGTTAAAACACACCCGCACCAGTCAAAGAGTTAAGAACTTATTACAGGAAAGGTTATACAATAATTGCTTCAGTGTACAGACATAAGTAATACCATTCAGACCATAATACTACTGTGCTATTTTGGCCCCCTCAGCACAAAAAAAAGTTTTGGAAATGTATTCTTAGACAGATCAGTCCTATGCATGAACTTCTGGGGCAGGAATAACAATAGTATTACTTAATATGAGATCCAGAAATTTTTATGATCATACATCTTAAAAGAATATGTAATTTTGGTTAACTTATTTCTTTTCTAGGATTTAAAATAGCATAATGTTAGCAGAAAATCTGTACTTACTGTTCCATTTGTGTGTGATAACTTATGAATCATAATAGCTGAACAAATTATTCATGATGTATAGATCATAACTATACTTTTGTATTTTATAAGGAAATATTTTTATGTTTAAGGTGTGTAAAAGTAAAAAAAAGTAAAGCTATCCCTATACCAGGCCGTGAAGGCCCATAGGGTTGTGAGACGTTGAGGGTCCCACACTATCTAGACAATCGGCTCGAAGATGGCCTTAACGCACTGGCCGCGCTTTACTTCCCAGGAAAATTATTTAATAAATTCCTGGTACTCATTTCTGTTAGAGGCTGAGTAAACCCCAGGGCCTAGTGGAGCTGGAAGGAATAGGTCAACTGAATAAATCCAGTGACCTCATCGGGAATTGAACCCGTGACTTTTTGAATTGAAAGTTACATACTTGACAATGTAGAATGATCATGCAGATTTTAAGTAATTGAAATAAATAAAAGAAAAAAAAAAGTAAAGCTATCTCCGTACCAGGCCGTGAAGGCCCATAAGGTTGTGAGATGTTGAGGGTCCCACATTGTCTAGACAATCGGCTCAAAGATGGTGGTAAGGTTGTCAGCCCTATGCGCCGGCTGTGCTTTACTCCCCAGGAAAATTATTTAATTTATTCCTGGTACTCATTTCTGTTAGAGGCTGAGTAAACCCCAGGGCCTAGTGCAGCTGGATGGATTAGGTCAACTGAAAGAAATCCAATGACCTCATCGGGACTTGAACCCGTGACCTTCTGGCTTGTAGCATGGCTCCTCAACCACTACGCTACCGCATGCCCCAATTGAAATCAATACTCTTTAAAATTATGCATGCAAGCACACAAACACACACTGATGGTTGTATAGTTGAATTTATGTAATGTGTCTGTTGAGCTCTAGGCATGGATGCCACTGGGATTTTTTTTTTTTTCCAAAGGTAGAGAGCGAGACAGTTTTCTTACAAGCTTATGTTCAGACTTTGTGTTTGGGATAGGATAATAAAACTTTTAAAACAATTTCCGTTTTTTATTAATATTTGGTTTGCTATATTTCCTTCTTTTTTCTAGTTTTATTTTATTTTATTTTATTTATTTATTTTTTTTTTTTTTATTTTAATTGGAGGACCAGGTGCTTGACTTGTCCCATCCTGCTGGCACTCGTGGCTCCACAGTATATGAGGAAGGACAGGAATAATGTTATTTTGAAATTTCTTCCTTCCTGTATATGTATTATGTGTATTTTTATGTGTCTTAATATCAGGTCTGTGAAGAAAGGTACTGTGTTGATAGACAGCAGTACTGTGGATCCAGATGTCTCCAAAACAGTGGCAGCAGCAGCAGAAGCTCAAGGCACTGTGTTCCTAGATGCACCAGTTTCAGGAGGTGAGGTATTGATATAATTAAAAAGAATGGCAGTGGTGAGTGATGTGCACAGCTGTTGGTGATGAGAAGGAACCATTCTGTCATCTTAATATTTTCTCACAAAAGAACAACAAGGAATACAAAAGAGCAGATCATAATGTCTCTTCAAGTGATTGGCCTTGGCAGTGTGAAGTTGGTGTCCAGTGTTCAGAGAGACTATCTTCATTGTTGTGGGGGGAGTGATCTTATTGATTGCCGTGTCCACATGTTATATTTATACAGAAAGCTATAATCTGTCCCAGCCTGGCTTGTGTGGGCAATAAGAATGCAGTCAGATGTTTGCTGTGTGCTAGCTCTGTCACCATTACAGTCACATTTTCCTTGCCTGATGCTTTTATGATGACACATTTTGAACATACATCATTGATGGTGTATCTCAGTGGTACACTCAGATACACTGGTGTTTCAACTGAATTTGCAAGTGAAGTTCCTTGCTATAATGAAAATCTCTTCCTCCACATCATTTGTACATCCAATTCTATGCTGGACTTCAATTTCTGCTGCTCGTTGAGTCTAATGATGTTACGTGAATCTGACATTCCAGTCTGCCATTGAATCTGTACGGACACTGATGTTTGCATAGAATTGGCATAGTTTCCTGTTTGTTTTGTTTCCTTATGTATATGTTTACTGCTTCTCATTTATTTGTTTGTTCTGCAATTTTTGATCATAATAATGAAGTGCATATGATATCTGCTGCACATGATATTTTTTGCCACAATGTTCTCCTTCACACTAGTGACTCTTTTCTTGACCTATCTGCCATTTTTATCGTGAGGGATACATGCATTAGCACAGAATCTCATGATATAAATTTGTGAATTAACTGCTTTTTCCTAATTTGGATGATACTTTGGGAAACCCTGAAACCTTGAAAGATGCTTTTGTCCCCCTCACTTTCTTGTTTGCTACCAGCATAACACAAAAGTGCAAATTCTGGCACAAAGATGCTAAAGAGCTTAAAATTGGTTAAAAAGTTATGATTATGTATGTATATATAATGTAACGTGTCAGCAATCCAGAAGAGTAACTTCTATGGAAACGCTAGGGTAGACCGTTGCATAAGAAGTAACAATAGCAGCACTGTAATCCCAACAGTGAGCCGTTGTGTAGAGAACATCGAATCTCCACGGTTACGACGAATACGCGAAGCGTTCCCACAGAGACAACGCAATAACAATGGGTCATTGCGTAGGGAACGCGGAACCGACAGAGCAACGTTTCCACAGCGACAACAGCAGGGTTGAATGCATTCGCACACCAGTCTCGGAATAGCCAGCTAAGAAGTCAGTCTCTCTCCAGCCTTCGAAGAAGTGAGTCTTGGAACAACCGCCAGAGAAGACAGTCCAGTGTCGGCCGAGATTATTGTAAGCAGTCATTGTAATACTGCAAGTGATGACAGTTGTAAAGCGTGTGAGTATATAAGTGAAGAACAATAAAGGTTCTACAGAATCTGAGACCCACATGAATTTATTTGCAGCGTGACACACAAAACACACTACATTGGTGTCAGAAGCCTAAAGGTTCTCCCTCGGTTTCGATGCCGCGGTGTCTTGTTGGCAACGTCTGCATTTGGCCTTGGTGTCCTTTGCGCGTCTTATTGCGCCGTCCATTTTGCCGCATCCGCCCCTCTCTTCAGTTGTGCTCGTCCCGAGCACTTCCATAGCCGAGAATTTGCCGATCTCGTCTCACATTCATCCTTCACTTTCATTCTTCATGCATCCTTGTTGGGGAGGCCGGTCTTTTACCGGTTCCTCTCATAAGGGCCGTTTCCCTTTTTCCGTTTTGGAGGGGGTCGACCCCTCCACAGTGTCCAATCTTTGTTTCGGCGTAGGCCGACGGACGATTTGGCTATACCGTTTGCGGCTTTCCTCCCTTTCCTCGGATGTAGAGGCTCTTCTACGTCTCGGCTCCTTACGCCCTTGCTGCATTCCTTTTTCGTCTGATGTCTCCTCCCAGGCATGTATCCTGTCGCGTTTTCCCTTAGTATGCCGTTCCTGACCCAGTTCTTTCTGGGGATCCTGTTGCGCCGTGCTACTCTGGCACAGAAAGTCGTCCCCTTGCTGGAGAATCCCAACCTCTCGTGGGGTCCACGCTTTTTCTGGGTGGTGTTCCTGAGGATGTCTATCTTGGGTTGTCCCACATTCGCCTGGTGTGTTGTCCTTCTGTAGTCGGCGGCCAATTCTTTATGCTGGCATTCGAATGTTCCCTTGGGAGTTTCCTTCTTGAAGTCGTTTCTCCGACGTCGTGCCACTGTCGCGTGACGGGATGTCCTGCTGTCTTTTTCCTGCTGTGCCACTTCCGCACGGCGTGTTGTCGCTCTGCGGGTGATGGCCACTTTCTCCTGGGGCCCACGATTTCCCCATTGCAAACCCTTTGCTTTCTGGCGGCGGTGCTCCGCGGCCAGTCCTTGGTCCCTACGCCTCTCCTTCGGTTTACCGACCGGTATTCTCAGGGCGTCATCTACGGGGACTTCTCGATGCTCCAGTACGGACTGCATCTCTTCTGGGTGGGGCTCAATCATCTTGTGGCTAGTTCTCCTCTCTTCCCCCCAGGCTTTCCAATCGGCCATCATCCCTCTATGGCGGGCATCAGCCTTGGACTGGTTTGCCTCCATTAGGGCCAGCAATTCTTTCTTCTCCGCCTTCCTTTCCTCCGTGTCAGCTTTTCTATTGGCCTCGTTGGCATCTGCTTTTTCTTCGTAAGCTGTCATTTTCTTCAGCAGAAGTTCCATCATCTGCTGCATCTCCATTTTTTTGTTGTTGTTGTAGGACGCGTGTTAAAGTTTGTAAAACACTTCTGACACCAATGTAACGTGCCTTGAGTATGTCACGCTACAAATAAGTTCACGCCGTTCTTTGATATAGCGAGTTTATTCTGTTCACTCGCGTGTTTTGTGTGTCACGCTACAAATAAATTCCCGTGGGCCTCAGATTCTGTAGAACCTTTATTGTTCTTCACTTATACGCTCACACGCTTTATAATTATCATCACTTGCAGTGTTACAACTACTGCTTACAATCTCTCGGCGGTACTGGACTGTCTTCTCTGGCGATTGTTCCAAGACTCTTTTCTACGACGGCTGTTCCAAGACTGACTTCTTAGATGGCTCGATAACGACTGACTTCTCAGATGGCTATTCCAAAACTGGTGTGCGAATGCATTCAACCCCGCTGTTGTCGCTGTGGAAACGTTGCTCTGTCGGTTCCGCGTTCCCTACGCAATGACCCATTGTTATTGCGTTGTCTCTGTGGGAACGCTTCGTGTATTCGTCGTAACCGTGGAGATTCGATGTTCTCTACACAACGGCTCACTGTTGGGATTACAGTGCCGCTATTGTTACTTCCTATGCAACGGTCTACCCTAGCATTTCCATAGAAGTTTCTCTTCTGGATTGCCGACACGTTACAATATATATCACTCAAATTCATGACTACTCATTGTTTTATTATCCTTAAATGAGGGAGGAAAGAAACTCATCTTCCATTTGGGTAAATATGTTACTGATCCCTTTTGACATCAGACCTAAATGTGTAAAGTAAAAACAATTATCCTTCAAATTAAGAATATTTTTCTCAATTCAGCCTCAGAAATTTTAGATTTGCGCATGCCAAACTTTTATATTAAAATTATATAATATGTTACTTTGGAAAGTGTCAGAATATCTTTTTTTAACTTATATAACCTTTTAGGGAGCCATACCCCTTAAAGAGACTTCTGTGGACTTGTGAAAATCATCCCACAGTCTCCCTTCTCGAACAATATACATTCAGAGTGCCTAAATAAATAATAGTGTAACTGACCCTAAATTAATTGTAGGTGTGAATGCTGCAAGATTGGGTCAACTGACATTCTTGGTAGGGGGACCAACAGAAGTGTTTCCTGCAGCACAAAAACTTCTGTTTACAATGGGTGTAAGAGCTGTTCACTGTGGTCCAGTGGGCTCTGGTCAGGCTGCCAAAATTTGCAACAATATGCTTCTAGGAATTAGCATGATTGGTACAGCAGAGGCATTTAATCTTGGAATTAGGTAAGCATAAGATCATTTTTGCTGTTTTCACCCTTGTACAAGTAACTTTCCTGAACAATATTCATACACTTAATAGTATGCAAAGCAGTGAAAGGAAGCAGTATTTCGTGATTAAGAGCAGTACCATATTTGATTTATTGAAAGTAAGACAATAGTATTGTAACGTGTTTTATTACTGAAGATGCCGTTCAGATTGTTAACTGGTTTATTTAACAACCTACAAGTATCGGGTGCAATTAATTACAACAATGTTACAGGTTTACACACGTTAGAACCCTACACACAAATCTGTCCACTACCACGATTCACTCATTACAGCTAAACTCGGTGACTACCACAATTCAATTCAACTCGTAGGCAGCTGTCTTGAGAACTCTCTTAGGCGGCCGTGTAGTTCCCTCATAAACCATCAGCCGGACAACGGGAAAACAGTTACGTAATAGGCACCACCGTTGTCTGACGCCCTGTTTGCCTGTCATGTAATGGGTACCGCTGTTATTACCGTCATCTCTCACAACCACTGTTTACCCGCTTTGCTTAGCAACCGGCGTGCTGGGACTCGGCTCACTTCGGCTCCACTTGGCATGTCACCGCTGGCGGGGTAGGTGAAGGGGAAGGAGTGTTGACTTGCCAATTACCCTAGTAACAACAGTGCTCCAATGGTGTTAACGTCACCGCTGGCGGGAAGAGGGGTGTCCTGCATAGCGCAGCATGTCACAGTATCTTAGTTTTAGCAGAGTGATTGAACTGCTAATAAGGGAATTAGATTTGGTTTCAGCATCATAAATGTCATTTTTGTTACCCATTAAATTGTCTGCTTTTTTAAATGTCACAAAAATAAAAAGGGAAGGTATAGATCTAAGAGTACAGTATCTGCTCATTTATTCAGGCTTTTGGAGGGGAAAGAAAGCAGAAATAACTGAAAACAGGAATAGTTAAAGATCTTCTCATTTCAAACACACTATTCATGCTGCTGTCTTATGTTGCAGATATTTTTTCCTTTCAACAAGCATTTACCGGTTTGTTTTGTTTCATGTTCATGTTTTTTTTTTCCTTGTGGTTCATATATTCCTTCCAGATGTGCTGTAATATTTATGTTGCATCATAGCAATTTTGGAATGCCTAATATTGTCCTCCCATACAAGTCTACGTTTCCCAAGTGGTCTTCAGTATTCTTTTATCAAAATTTTGTATACATTTCTCATCTCTTCCATATTTATTACACGTCTAACCCATCTCATTGTACTTGATTTTGATATCCCAATAGTATTCGGTGAATGGGTACAAACTATGAATCTCCTCAGTATATACGTAGGTAGGCTGAAAAGTAATGCACACATGCTTGTAGAGCGCGAACAGAATGACGTTCAGAAGCATGCCAGGTGGCATGTGGAAGTAACACTCCCTCTCAATACTCATGCGCAGGTTTGAGGTCGTTGCGTTCATCCAGTGTATTTCGAGAAGCGGAAGTATGGAGACGTATTCTAGTGCTATGTCAACACGAGTTAAACAGCGTGCTGTTATCGAAATTTTAACTGCTGAAAAAGTGACTCCTACTGAGATTCATCGTCGTTTAAAGGCTGTTTATGGTGACGATGCTGTTGATAGGTCTACTGTAAATTGATGGGTAATAAAATTTCATGGTTGCGAGCCTGGGAAAGCCATAATTGTTGATGAAACACACAGCGAATGTCCGATCACTGCCACAGATGATAATCATTGAAAACTCGTCGACGATTCGATTCAAAATGACTGGCGAATCACTCAAAAGTGTATCGCAAACCATATTGGAATATCCAGGGAACATGTCGGGTTCATTATTGAACAATTGGGATACCGTAAAATCTGTGCACAATGGGTACCATGCCGTCTCACACACGAGAACAAACAGCGTCGATTGGAATGCTGCGAGCAACTTTTGCAGCTCTACCGTGACGAAGGAGACGACTTTCTTTTGAATATTGTGATGGGGGACGAGTCGTGGGTACATCGTTACGACCCGGAAGAGAAAAAACAGAGCGCTGAATGTCGACATCTGTCTTCTCCTCAGGCGAAAAAGTTCAAAACACAACCTTCCGCCAAAAAACTTCTTTTGACTATGTTTTGGGATGCTCACCGAGTTTATGTGACCGATTTTCTGGAACGAGGGGCAACGGTAAATTCTTCTCAGTACATACAGACTCTAAAACACCTCCGGTGTCGAGTTTGTCATGTTAGAGGCAGCCTGGCGCCAATAATCTTGCAACATGACAACGCTCGTCCACACACCTTGTGCGCAACTGAAGAGGCTCTGCGAAACCTGAAGTTTGAACCGATTCCACGCCCTCCTTATTCCCCCGATCTTGCGCCTTGCGATTTTTATTCTTTTCCTCTACTCAAGAGAGACCTCAAGGGTAATCATTACACCTCGGACGATGAGGTGAAGGCAGCTGTCAAGTCCTGGATTTGAGAAAAGTCGGAATAATTTTTCAGTGACGGAATGAAAAAACTTGTTACACATTGGGAGAAATGTGTTAGCCTTAACGGTGACTATGTTGAAAAATAAATATATGCTTTTGAAACTTAAGAATTGTACTTTAATGTACTTTTTGCCCGATCTTGCTATTTGTTTCTGTTCGCGCTCTACAAGCATGCGTGCAGTACTTTTCAGCCGACCCACGTAGTTTCACCATTCTTCTGTTTCTTATGTCAGATGTACTCTGTTCTCAGACATTATATGTTATTTACTCCACCACTTATTGGTCTTGGCTTCTTCACTTCCTTTGATGTTTCCACTCTTATGAGGGTCATCTAATCTCTGATAATGAACAGTTAAATTTTAACATGTGAAGAGACCTATCCAGTAAGGTGGTTGGTTATAAATATGCCTGTTATGGCTTCAGAATTGTGCAAAAAATGTTACTGTATTTATAGGTTAGGTCTTGATCCTAAGGTCATGTTGGAGACAGTAAATTCTAGTTCTGGGCGTTGCTGGTCATCTGAAGTTTATTGCCCCGTTCCTGGTACTATGGACAATGTACCTAGTTCCAATGATTACAAGGTAATTTCCCTAATAATAATTCTACAATGCATACTTTATAGTGTAATGATGTATAATTATTTGTGTACAGTGTGTAAGATTACATATAGCACAAAATATATCTTACATGTGCACATGCATGTGTGTAGGTATAGTAGGTGAGTCCACTCCAGACTAGATAGAAGTAGGCTCTATCATGTGACCCCCTGAAAGCTTTATCACAAAATAAATAATTTGAAAGGGACCTTCTTGTGAAGATGATGATGTGTGTGAACATGCATGTTTGCAAGCAAAGGAAAGACCTTAAATAATGTCTTTCCCACACATATATATATATATGTGTGTGTGTGTGTATATATATATAGACACACACACACACAGGTTGGACAAAATAATGGAAACACTACAGATACTGTACACATTTCTTTATTAATTTGGTGTTGGACCACCTTTTGCCTTCAGTACAGCTGCAGTCCTTGGAATGGATGTGTACAAGTTTTTAAAAGTCTCTAGCAAAATTTTATACCCTTCTGCTTGAAAAGCATCACCAAGTTGATTTGGAGATGGTTGGAGGTGGGAATTTGTTCATCACTGTAGTCTCCAAAACTGACCAGAGTGGTTACTATAGGATTCTGACGATGGTGTATAACACACTCATATTGGGTTTTTGGACTTCATCCATCGTCCTGGTTTTTAAGATAACTTTTCTTCACCTGAGGACGGAAACAGATCCAGTTTCCGAAACGTCGTGTTTTTATTAGATATCTTAAAAACCAGGATGATGGATGAAGTCCAAAAACCCAATATATCAGTGTGACCAGAGTGGTTCAGTGATGTTCATTTCTGGTGATTGTGCTGGCTAGGGAAGATGTTGAAGTGAATAGTTCCAGCTGTGTGAATGGGAACATTGTCATCTTGTAAAACTGCATCTTTGTTTGGAAATAATGTCTGGATCATGGCATGCACCTGATTACCCAACCTGTCCATGTATTCCTTTGCAGTAATACGGCCATGAAAGGTAATAATGGGACCAACAGAATACCACAATGTTGCTGCACAAACTGTCATAGAACCTCCCCTGTGTTTCACTGTTGGAACCAGGTATTCTGGATTGTAAGCTTCCTTGGGTGTTCTCCAAGCATGAACTCTTCCCAATTTAGGGAACATCATGAAGGATGACTCATACACGGTGTGTCCAGGATCCGTTAGGACTCATTTTTTTAAATTTTGCACTACAATGACATCTGTTGGCGAGTTGTGGCATTAAGATTCTTGAAGTTTCAGCTGTGGCTGTCTATAATTTCAAAGCACAAGCATCGCTGCATCATTTGTTCTGACCTTCAGTGTAACAGTACTGTTCTGATGCTCGTTGGAAAATGGTGGTTGAACAGAGAGCCTACATCAAATTTTGTTTGATGTTAGGTAAAACAGCCAGAGAAGCATACAAAATGATGAAAAGTGTGTACATTAGTGATTGTTTTAGTCGCTCAAACATTTTTCGATGATATGCTGTATTTTATGATGGCGGGGAGCACATTGAAGACGCTCCACATGCATTAAAGCCAAGAACAAGTTGCAATGAAGAAAATGTGAAAAAAGTGACCGAAATCCTTGCATCAGACAGATGTGTCAGCCAAGGCTGTTGACTTGGCACATAAATAATAAAGAATTGAACTGAATATAACTCAACACAATCACTAATGTACTGACACAAACGCTAGAGAATTTACATGAATGGAAGAACATTCAATGTTGCCAGCTGAAGCTGTTCCTCNTTAAAATTTCAGAGGTAAATTTTCAATAATCCCCAACTCTTTCTGTAGCATACATGAGGAAGTAAAAACAGCAAGTTATATATACAGGTGTCCCAGGAGGAATGGACCAAACTTCGGGAGGGTGTTCCTTATGTTAAAGTATGCCGATATAACCCAAAACACCTATGTCCAAAGTTGAACGGTTACGGAGATAATGGCCTGATAAAAGTGTGGTCTTCTGCCGGGTCCATGCACTGTACCTCTCAGCTGTGTTCTTTTATCTGTTTGTCCTTGAGTGTTGTGATGGCAGCTCACGTTAACCCCATACGCTCGCATACCAGAACGCGCAGTCAGCCATATTACGTCATCGCTCGCCAGTCATGTGTCATGTATACTGCTTGGAAACCCTAAGGACAATTATGACATGGCGAGCAAGTATTTCATACTTCAATTTTATGGCTTCACGTCACTCACAAGTTAGTTCANCTTTTTTTTTTTTTGGTGTTTGCAGCAAGCTTTGGGCATATCCCCCTCGGCAGCCCCACTAGAATTAGAATAAAGAACTAAGATTTATAACAGCAGTACACCAATTCACCAATTTTTTAAAATAATGTAATTGTTTGTTTAAGAGTATAAAATTATTTTAAAATAGAAGATAAAGTTTTGTAGCAAATATAATTTTAAAAAGTTTGATATATGAAAAACCTAACTGACACTCACAGAATTTAAATGTTTTTATGTAGATGTAAGATGTTGCAAATTCTGCAAAAAAAAGTTTTTGGAATGTTTTCTTTGTATGTGTTTGTGTGCATTCCTCCGGTGTCTGATTAGTAGGGACCGGGTTTTAATGCAAATGCATATTTCTTTCTTGTAACCAGAAAGTATGCTCGTTTGGATATATGTACGAATTACTTTATTTCTTAAATTTTGGACATGATTTGATGGTGCATACAAATGCATATTTTGCATGTTTTATGAATAAGCATCATGTTTTCGAAGATCTCTATTTATACTGCATATTTCCCTTTTAAAATGTTTATCATATATATTTTTTAATTTTATATTTTCAGTTATGGTAATGTGTATACAATTTTTCTTTTCCGTATTAGAATATGTTGCATAGTTGACTCAACATTTCGTCATGATTCATGTTTCTGATGCAATACCCAGGTCGGGACTTCCTCGATCCCTGTACTCGTAACTTGCCTCATCCGCATACCATCAAAGTGGCCGCGAAGAGATTAGTTGGAAGCGTCCACATGTAGCCGCTATCAACGTAATACTATTCAACCGATAAGTGACTTATTTATTTCCGAAGTCTCCATGAGGTTCATTACGCTTCTTCATTTGAAGCTGGGGGCCATTCACATTAGTGGTGACTAGCCTGTAGTTAAGTTTGTTTAGCTTTCTGTAGTCATGCCGAAAGTGAAAGTAAGTCAGAAAACTAAATTACAGATGTATCAGCGGGAGTTCGAAGGAGAGATGATAAGTACGGATAACGAAATTCTTTATTAGTGAGAAAACAGTTGGTTGCGAAAAATGCTTTCAAGTGCTTCAGCATTTGAACACTAATATACACAAAGAGAATATTAAAATTAAATCCACGAAAAGTGCTCCTGTTGAAAAATTGTTTAGTGAATTTTCTGATAATAGTTTTTCACAGTTTTCCTTTGATTTATGCGAAGCCTTTTTAGCGGCAGATATTCCACTGTGGAAACTAACCAGTCCTACTCTGAGAAACTTCATAGAGAAGTATACACAGAGCAAAGTGCCGGATGAATCTACTGTGCGCAAAAATTACGTGAAGCAGTGTTACGATCTTACAATTGAAAGCATTAGAGATAAGATTCAAGATAATTTTGTGTGGGTATCAATCGACGAAACACAAGATTGTGAGGGACGGTTTATTGCAAATTATATAGTTGGATCCCTTAATAAGAATGAACAATCTACCCCATATCTTCTTGCAGTAGAGCAATTTGAAACCACAAATAGCTCCGCAGTTTCTGAATTTTTTATCAATTCCATGAATTTACTATGGCCAAATGGCATTCAGTATGAGCGCGTATTGCTCTTTGTGACTGATGCCGCAAGTTATATGATGAAAGATGGTACTGCTCTTAAAGTTATATTTCCAGACATGACACATTTGACTAGCCTTGCCCATGGGTCGCACCATGTTGCAGAAACAATTTGTACAAATGTTCCGCTTGTTGACAAGTTGGTGTCTTCTGTGAAGAAGGTATTTGTTAAAGTGCCATACAGAAAAGAAGCCTTCAAAGCAGTAGCACCAAGCGTTCCACTTCCGCCGGAACCAATTTTAATGCGCTGGGGCACGTGGCTGTGTGCAGCGAGTTATTATACTGTACTTAGAAGCAGTTAGGAATATCGTGAATACATTTGATCCCAAAAGTGCAGTATCAAGAAACGCAGAACTAGAAACTAATCTTTTCTATATATCTGCTCACCTCTCTCATCTACCATCCGCCATTTCCTCACTGGAGTCAAGCAATAGCAATACTATTTTGTATCACTCGTTAAGTTTGTTCAAAACCACTGTTCCCAAATTGAATTCGGTTCCTGGAAGAGTTGGTGAAGTAGTAAAGGAAAAAGTACACATTCCTTAAAAAAATCCGGGGTATGAACAGATTTGTGAAACTGAAGAAATTTTAGCCGACAAATGTACTGAACTGCCAAGTAAAAAATCCTTAACAGTGGAGCAAATAGTGGCTTTTGTACATGCGCTCCTAAGTTCCTGTGAGGTGGAAAGAAGTTTTTCCTGCTATAAGGACATCTTACGAGACAATAGGAGGCGACTAACTATGGAAAACCTAGAACAGTTAGTAATTGTGAACTGCAACAGAAGAGAAGTTGAAAGTTCGGATAGCTAAATGTGAGTACCATTGGTTTTTTTAAATTTGTAATGAAATATGTTGGCTTTGTTGCATGATTTGTATTTAAGTATAGCTCTTTATTGCAAATGAACCATTCAGTGATTACATAAAATGAACTTAAATATTGATTTGTTAGTCTTAAAATAATGTAAAATCAATTTTAATATTTGGTATAAATTTTTATGTGCATATTTTAATGCATATTTCGGAAGTTTTTATTGCATAAATGCATACATATTTAAGGGATTATTAGGGCATAAAAATCCGGTCCCTACTGATTAGTTTCATAGATTTCTGTTATGTTTGATATTGTAGAATTAATATTTTATTTTGAACTTTAACACTACATATGAATTTGAAAACAAAATGAGTGGCTAAAGCTGCATTGATGATTCTGTTAGTTTCTGCTGATTTAAGAAGTTTCTTTTGATAAGTAATGAATTTCGAGATATTTTATGCAACATATTTTTCGTAGTTTATTACTGTAGGTGCTATGCTTATTCATAATGTAAGATAATAGAATTAAGTATTGTATTTGGAAACTGAATTATATATATAAAAGAAAAGAAAGAGTACCTTCCGGAGCATAGACATACAGATAAGAGAGAATGCAATAGTAGGCACTTTACCCGATTTTCTTATAATTGGTCCCACTTCAGTTGTCAGTTATCTGTAACATTTGTCTTTGTTGGCACAGTGTCAAATTTTTACTTGTTTCATATGCATCAATTTCATATTTGTAACTCTGCATTCTGAAGGCATGAGTGTAAGAGATATTACAATGAAATAGGAGGTTTCATCAAGCCCATTTCTGTTACAGAATGTGAACATGTTTTCTTTAATTATTTTTATTACTTAAAGTTATGAAAGCACTACTGAGTTTGGTACTGTTCTAAACCTTTATTCAATTAACAGGGAGGATTTGGAACAAAACTAATGGTGAAAGACCTGGGTCTCGCACAGGAAGCTGCTACTAGGACAGCCACCCCAACCCCGCTGGGATCTTTAGCTCACAAATTGTACCGCACCATGATAAACACTGAATTTGCTGACAAGGACTTTTCATCTGTGTATCAGTATTTTTTGAAACAAGAAAGGAAGTAGCCTATGTTAACCATGCCATAATTCATGTGGTTAATTGCTGACTTCTCACTACAGAGGCCAAAGTTGAGTGCCAGGAGGTGGCATTTGCAGTACATATAAGCAGCACTTGAACTGTTATTTTTTCTGCACTTCTTTTGTTTCTCCATCAGTTAACCATTCCACCAATATTTCATGTTCGTCTATCAACAGAGGATGGTATAATAGGCTACAGTACAAATTGATCCTGTCTTACCTCATTTGTTGAAGTAATCAATTAAATAACTAACCCATAATTACTGGGAGTCCAAGTTCTGTGATGGTATGATAAAAGGCCGATTGTTGAAATGTAATATTTCTTGCTTCTGTTAATATGTTGATATATTTTCATTTAAACNGGGGGGGATTTGTGGGTTCTGAAAGTTTTATGAGGACCTATAATCTAAACTGTTTAACTAGACACTTAAAATTTCATGCAAGTACATTCAGAGCTAGAAATAGATGAAATTGTGCTCCCTTCCATTTAGAAGTAAAAACTGCATAGTTATTTTCAGTTTTTGCATCCTACTGTTTTATGTAATCATGGTATGAGTTTGCCATCTTCACAATCAAAATGACAGTCTTTCAACTTCATTTGAATCAAAATGCCTGCCAGCTAATTAAAGCAGTGATATTTGACTCAAATCGACCAATTTAAGTGTGCCATTTTTACTTCAGTCAAATTAAAATGCTTGACAGTTCATCACATCGAAACATGTTTCAGTTTTAAATTATGGCCGTGCAGCTAAGTTGTGCCAATGTAAATGTGCCATAAGTAATGCTCTTCCATGGTAGGAGGCAGGAATGCATTCCTTGGCTGGTAATATTGGGTTGTGCTTGAGATGGGGATGTGCTTTTATCTTAGGATTTTCTTCATGGGATTTCTTTCATGAAGCACCATGGCTGTGACCATTGTGTACATTCTTGTAGTTCTCTATAATGAGTATACCTTTATAATCCTTTGTAAATTCTTTCTCCCCTCTACTGTCTTGTACATGGCATGGCAGATTTAATGTGCTTGATTTTGTTTTCATAAATTTTAGCATATTGATTATATTTTTTCATAGTGGAATGAATGTTTATTGTCTTACACTGATGTTTGCATTATTGTTGTTTCTTAAAGTGAAATATTTTACATAAAGATATGTAGTAAATTGGTGAGGTCCAGAAAAAAATTACTGAATATTTTATTACTCCAGTGTTTGGTGAGACTGTAGTTATTTTACAGTTCTAGAAAATCGAGATTAACGGCTGTGGGGATCAATTGCACTGACCATGTGAGCCCTGTATCCGCAAAAGTTGGCACTAACTTCGCCAAAAAGCAGCGGTCACTCAGTCGGTATAGTTTGCTTGTGGACTACAGGCCATGGAGTTTTGATTTTGGTTTCATGTGATGTTCATATGTTTAGTTGTATCTGTATTTACTGGTACTTCTTTCCTAGCCTGTAAGAAATTTTCTGATACATATACCAGTATTTATGTAATTTATTTTAACAAAACCACTCTGTGAACTGTAAAATATATCACTTTGTATATATGAATGTGATTGGAGGATTCATAGACTGGAGCAGTAAAGATTCTTGTAGCATACATGGTTTTTATTTCATTACCAGAAATTCAGACAGCGATGATTACTAGAATTTACATCAGGATACCTGGACTGAATTTACTGAAAGGAATTGAAGTTTTAATTTCATTTTTATTCTGTACACTAGATTTCCATTGTGTGTTCATACTGCATGTCTCCTTACAACAAAAACCATGTGTATTACAGGATGGCAAAATGTCTTTCTCCATTGCTCAGCCAGCAGGAAAATAAACATTTATTGAATACTATCCAAGTGCTTTTTGTAATGGTGAATCTTATGCTTTGGTAAGCAGGCATTTCCTATAAGAAGCATACATTACAACTCTTTGGCCAGGTTCTAGAATTACAGTGACATAAGAAATTTACTTTGGACATTTTGTGCTAATCTTCCCTGACTTCACAGTTCTACACTTCTTATATTAAATTTAATCAAACATCAATCAGTTCCACATTACATCATTCTAGTTCTATAGTAATAAGAATGGTACAGTTCTACCTCTAATGTATGGTACCTGCCTTAGTTCATCAACATAACATTTCTAATTTAATTCAGATAATCAGTAGGCTGTTAGGTGTTCCAGATGATATATTCTTTATACTTGAATTTTATTAAATGAAGAAGAGTGATATATGTACACAATATTTTACATGAGTATGATATAATCTGTACTTAAAGAAACTATTTTTAATAAAGAGCCCATATCTTATATTTCAGATATGTAGTATATATTTTTTTAAACATTACATATACAAGGGTGGATCATAGACTTATGAGACTCTCTGTGTATGTGTAAGTTAGAAGTATTATCTATAATTCAGATTTTTCTCCTGACTGAATATACTGATTCTTGCTGTTCTCCCACATAGGGAAGTACTTCAGATACTCTTTTCTTCTGGGATATTGTTCACTTCCTGTGTCGCACATTTGATGAGCGTTGACACTTTCTGAAATCTTTTCCTTTTTGATTACTCTTCAGTTTGGGGAACACATAGAAGTAACTAGATGCTAAATTGAGTAACTTGGGTTGGTGGAGAAGTAGCAGTTATGTTTGATCAAGAACTCCATTATGGAGAAAACTGAATGAGCCTGCATCCACGAACTTGACTGTAGCCAGTTCCATAGCACTCCCTGCTAAAGATATTTGAGAACATCCAAATAAAACGCTTGCTTGTATGATTTTTTTTTTTGCCTCATCTGAATTGCTTATATGTTTCCACTGCCCAATTAAAACATTTATTTGTATGGAAATACTTACATGGGCATAACAATGTTCATTTCATTCATTACAATGTAATGTAATGCAAAAATGTGAGTATGGACTGTTAACAGGGTTATATCAAAATCAGCAGGTATGGACCACTTTATTAAATTAATAACAGTAAAAGTAAAGCTATGCATGTACCAGGCCGTGAAGGCCCATAAGGTTGTGAGATGACGAGGGCCCCACACTATCTAGACAATTGGCTCAAAGATGACGGTAAGGTTGTCAGCCTTATGCACCAGCCGCGCTTTACTCCCCAGGGCCTACTGTGGCTAGAAGGATTAGGTCAACTGAAAAAAATCTGATGACTCCATTGGGACTTGAACCCGCGACCTTCCGGCTTGTAGCATAGCCCCTCATGTTTCTAAAATATGAATTTATTAATTTAATGTTATGTATACAGTGTATTCCTGATTACCAATGTGCAGATTATCCAGTCTGTGACTTATCCATGTGCCTTTGGGAGCATTAACCATTTCCTGTCAAATGTCAATATATAATCGACATGGTGACTGTGCTTCCATGAACAAATGTTGATATATGATCGACAAAGTTTGTTTCGTGTTTCTGCGGTCAAATTTCGATCATACATCACTAATTTGAACTGCAGACTACAGCAATGCATGCATAAATGTTTTGTCTGCCACCCGGTATGTGGAAGTCATAATTTTACCTTCTTGGCTTTATGTAAGGGCAGACCTCTGCCTTCTCACATGAAAATGTGGAAATATAATCTCGTGTGTGGCAAGGATCAAGAATCTATTGGTGATATGTTAAGGAAAGAACTTGATATAGACTCTGATGATGAGATGAATTTGGAAAATGAAGGACCAAGTACAAATGAAGAATCAAGCAACGCATATTTAGGAAGTGAATGTGAGAGTGAAACAAATGTTCTGTGTATTGAAGGGTGGGAAGACATGACAGTGGGTGACAAGAAACCCAAGGCATACACATTTACTAAAACTGCAAGACTACAATTTAACCTTCTACCAGGTGCAGAGCCCTTGGATTGTTTTAGATTATTTTTCAATGATGACCTTTGAATAACACTGTTATAGAGACAAACAGGTACACAAGACACAAAATTTTGGAACTTCAGCTTAGCCCGAGGTCCATTTGGAGTATGTGGTCTAATGTGTCTGTTCCTGAAGTGAAGATGATCTTAGGTCTAATTATATGTTTCGATATTACTGGAAATGTATCGTGATCTATAATATCGTATTTCATCGTCTGGGACGTGCAATACGGTGTTTATGTTGAAAATTTCTAGATTCTGGCAGAAACAAGAAGTCCGGAGTTATGACATTTACGATCAGTCATAAATTTAGCTCGGGTACAGGGAACCGGACGCGCCTAAAAGGACAGGTCAGAGCTTGTTACAATTGCCTGTGAATGAGGGCCAGTATGATTGGGTTGCCTCATTCAAGCTTCCTACGGAAGATGGGATGAAAATGTATATGTCAACACCATCTTTCGAATTCCCGGCATGGGTGTGCAAGCCATTCCACAAAGGGAGACTTTCACAATATTCCGGACTGAACGGACGTGACCCTTGCACGCTCCAGGACATAGCTAGCCGATAGTATAACGCTGTAACTTAAAGCTAAGAATACATTAATTTAACAGTGTGGTGAATTAGCAGGTGAATAAACGTCAATTGGCTCAACTCTCAGAAAAACGCTTTCTTAGGCATCGCTACCCTGAGACTCATGCAAACCGACCCAGCTAGTTTCCCGTACCTATACCGATCTTCCTTAGTTTGATCTGTGAGGACAACTTCCAGTAGCCATCATACACTGTCCTAAGGTAGAAACAGGTGTAGAAGGGATAGCACCATTCCGACTGAGCCGATACAAACAAAGGCTGGTTGGAAAAGAGCGGTGTTAAGGCCTAATCCCATTATCTGACATAAAAGACTACTTGTCTAGTAGGAGGAAAACAGATACAATTTTTTGGTGACACATTGTCCAGAAATCTCTTTTTACAGATATTCTGGATGAAGCATGGGGGGAAAATGGTACCACTGAATAAAACAATCAGGCCACCAAAAGGACAAGAAAGTATATGGGGTGATTGAACATATAGGAACAGTTTCAGAAAAAAAAAATTTTGTGCCAGGTAAAAACATTGAAATAGATGAATCAACAGTTAGGTTCAAGCACAAAATAATTTTGGAAACTTATAATACAAGAGAACCAAATTCCAAATTATGGAAAACATACAGGATACAGGTGACCTGTGTAACTTTCCATACTCTAAAAACCCGCTCATTTCAAGAATAGTTCTTTCCTTGATGGACAGACTATGACTCAATGTTGGGCACTGAAGACTACCACCATTTCAGTGACATATTATAGCAGTGCTGAGTTGGCCCAAGAATTGGACAATCAAAAATGTAAGTACACATTTTGCTTTTTAAACTTATGCCCTTGTTGTATCAACTTCTTGGGCAAAACACTTCACTTGGTGGCTCCACAGGAATTTAAAAACCCCTCTCCTGGCTACGGATATTTTTCCAAATGTGCCCACCGAAAAGGGTTAAATAACCTGTACAGCATCTGTTAAGTTACTTAGTCCTTTCATCTATCCATCTGCATATAGGAAATTCGTGAATGGCTGGGCAGACTTCCAGGAAATTTGATATTTGCAGATCTTAACAAAAAGTTTTCATTTAGATAGGATAATTTGAACCACTTTACATGAAGACCAACATTCATTTGCGTTGTGGGAACATCCCACATTATCACGCATTTCTGCAACGCTCGCTCTTCACATCGCTTTTCACCATCACGCGCGCTAACCAATCTGATTACTTCAAACGTTCATATTTATACTGGGAACGCTCCTGGCCCGCATCAACGTCATTACGCGCGCTAGCCAATCAATTCTTCCTCCTCATTTTCGAGTTTGGCTCCGCCCCACCGACCAGCGTATAAAAAAGGAGCGACTCCAAAGCCGAGTTATTCAGTCAGTTCTGTTCAACGCAGTTCATCTTCAGCCTACGAGCTAGACACCTCAAGCAACTTCAACCAGCAGGCTTCGTCGCCAGCGCTCGGTCTTCGGAGGCATCGGCAGGCTGCGCCGGGCACGACTGCCTCGGCCCTCCAGCGCTCTCACACCCGACTCACTGGGGCACCGCGCCTGGACTCGCCGGTGGTCGTGTTAAGCTCCGACTCACTGGGCTTCTGGCGTAGCCACTGCCTCATGGCTCCTACGACCGCGCTCAACGACTAGCCTTTTCACCAGCCATTCACCGTAACTAGCCTTTCTCCTTACCGGCGCGCGCCGCGCTACCTCACCGGTCAATCATCTCAGCAGCCACGGTCCTTTTCAGGGCCAACAAACTGTTCCGAAGAAGTGGGTTGTCATCGGAGTAATGACAAGACTACGCACGTTGGCAAGAGCCCCACAGCGTATAACTTGTACAAAAATATTTTAAATTAAAGTTATAAAGATGAAAATAACACACATTTTGTGTCCAATACTCTTTTTTATGTAAGCCTTATGACATCAAAACAACTGGTAAAATTGAATGTCTTCCTACATTTCTGAATTTCTATATTCAGCAATCACCATGGTCTAATCACACCAGAAATTTGCGATAACTGTGTTTAATTATTCATCATCTTTGCTTCTTCATTAGCATGAATAATTGGAAGTACGGTATACTCCATAAATGACACATGGGTTAAGCAGATTGGTCATCTTATTTATATATAAACACTTAAAATGTTTTACAAAGTTTCTGCCCAGAGGTGAAATCATTGATTGCCTTATGCTCAAAAGAAACTTCAGAAGATGACCTGGTGTGCATCAAATCATATGGGCAAAAATGTGATCCTTGACCCCAACATTTGCCTGGAGGAACTGAAAAAACTACAAGTGCGTCTCCTGAATTCGAGTCTTAGGCATTAACACTACACCATTCTGTTTGGTGAAACCACCTGAAGGGTTCTAGCTCTTCTAGCTTGACACCTAATGGTCAGCTATAGTTCTATAACATCAGACGGTGCCAGTGTGTTGAGGATTCAATCTCTCGACTTAAAAACTCGTTTCGCAAATAACGAACAAACCATGACCACCGTCGTAAACGTCGTTAACAAAATAAACTCATAGTACTAAAAATGTGCTTCAACAGTCACTTTAAAAATACTGGACTGAAAATGGCGCTGAAAGTGAAATCCTTTGTGTTATTAAGTTATCAAAGAAATTAAAATGGCGGAGGCGAATGAGTGTCTGTTGTGTTTGTATGTAATAAATTAGTAACAGTCATTCACATATGCACAGCTACTTATACTACATAACTGAAACATCCATTGTTTAGGGAGGAAGCATCCTGTTGTGAGTCAGTGTTATTCATGTCCTATAGAAGCCTTGGAAGTGACTTGGCCGGCCACCCACCCACAATGTTAAGTTAGTATTTGTCGAACGTTGCAGCGATACGGTGTTTGCGGTAACAGTTTTAAAACAGCTTAAAAATGGGCGTACTTATATCAAGATTTAGGGTAAGTTCCGAGTGTATTGGCATTGTTCTATTTGTACGTGGATCTCTAATCGTAATATTTCAGTAATTGCCAAGTAAATGCCAATTTCATTGGTTGCCATGTATGCTTGTAGTAGTGCTTTTGTTGGGCTTTAAAAGGCGAAGACTTTCTGTATGTTATAAATGTAGCACTTGTTTTGATAACACCTATTTATTAAACGAGTATTGGAACACCCGTGTAATGTACTGAAATTATATTTTTTAAACAATCAGTACAGTGTGTTGTACTTTTTCATTCATATGGGCTTATAGAAACAAGCAGCCTGTGTCGAAATTACTGCCGTTTCAAGCATTTTCTAATCCTTAATCTTTAACTTCCACATATGTAGAATACTAGTGTGGTGTTTTATTGCAGAACTATGTGACAGGTTCCAGTGTACATATTCCTACATGACAAGGATTTGTGGTCTTATGTGACATCCTTACTTTGTAAAAGTGTGTAAAATTGCCAGTTTTCAACTTCTAAACAGTTCTAAACTTCTAAACCCCAGTTGAAGGCGTTGTCTTCAAACATTATTTCTGGTTGAATATTGTCTTTAGTTCTTTCAGTGACTGGATTCTTCCATGCACCGTTTCTTTGATGGTATTCCATAAATAAAGGCCACATAGTTTTAATCTGGTAGTTGTGGAGGCTACAGTCGTTACCCACATGTGAGATTCTTCAGGTAATTCGAGTCCGTGAGTTTAGCAGTAACGCCGTAGACTTGAATTCAAGAAGTGCTCAGCTTGAATCTGTCCGGAACAGTTGATCTTCCCGACTGAGGCTTTTCATGGTTTTCCTCAGTCTCTTCTGGCGAATGCCAGGATTGTTCTATGATTAGATCACAACCACTTCCTTCCATATACTTTACAGTTCGTGATCCACCAGTAGTCCTACAATTGGACACAGTATAGTCTAGATGTTGACAGTTCCATTAAGTAATCCACATGCACACTTTTCATTTAATGGTGTCATTAAATTACTAGCAGAGTGGGCTGTGTCATTAGTCTGCGTAAAGCGGCTATATGTTTCCAGTTAATTGCCAAAGGATGCAGAGTCAGTCTGACAAATTTGGAATGTATTGTTTCTTAAAAAAAGGCAGATTCCCATTGTTTTAAGTGCACAGATTCCACAACAGAATCCAGCTTTTAGGTCATACAAATGGATATCATGAACTTTATGTTCTGTACTCCAGTAGGAGAAGTTGTGATTTCAGCCACTAACTTTAAACTGTGTGCATCAGGTGAGTAATGGGGGCGGTTCAGAAAGTAACCTCTGGTGAGCTGTTAGCAAAACAAGCAATGAGAGAAAATGTATTATATACAAAAAAATACGTACATACTTAAGCTACTTCTCATTGTAATCACCACCAGAATTGAGGCATTTGTTGTACTGGGGAATAAGATTTTGTATGTAAGATTGAGGTTTTCACGGTCATGACTATGAAGAATGCCATCTTCTTGGATGTGGCGCTGTGTAGAACTTGTGTGAACCAACGTTTTGGAGGAACGTATCGCCTCCATCTTCAGGGTAGAAAAATCCATGAACAAGGAAATGCCCTGAGCAGGTGGCTGCGGACACCTACCATAAACGCCTCATTATTGTTGAAGCGCTGTGTTCTCAACTTTCTTTCCAAGTAGATAAACAGGTGGTAGTCGCTTGGAGCGAGATCAGGGGTGTAAGGTGGGTGGTCAAATAACACCCAGTTGAAATGTGCCGGCAGTGCTCAAGTGTGAGCAGCTGTATGCAGATGCACATTGTAATGGAGGAACACTGCAGCGGATATCAGCATTCCATTCCTTTTGTTCTGAATAACACTCTGCAATTCTTTTGGTGTTTCACAATACAAACTGTGAGCTTGCCATTGGCAGACTTCTCTGACAGGCGTACAAAACTTATCCCCCATGCAGCAAGTGCCACAGCTCTGGTGGTGACTACATTGAGAAGTAGCTTAAGTATGCACATATTTTTGTATATAATAATTCTTACACCTCATTGCTTATTTTGTTAATGGCTCGCTGGAGGCTACTCTCCAAGTAGCCCTCATACATAAGTTGTGAATTAAGAAGCTCATTGTCTTGTGGTTGATGAAACCAACTTCAGTCTTGCTAACAGTTTTGCTGCAGTGTGAATCAAGCTTCCAGAAACTTTTGTCTTCTTGTCTCCTGTTTAACACATACAAATTAGAATATACAAAACTGTAATTTTCCTGTGGTTCTTTGTGAGTATGAAACTTGATCTGTGGCATTAAGGGATGAAAATAGACTGAGGATGTTTGAGAACAGGGTGCTGAGGAGAATATTTGGACCAAAGAAGGAAGAAGGGACATGAGGTTAGAGAAAACTGCATAATGAGGAGCTTCATGACTTGTACTGGTTGCCAAGTATGGTTAGAATGATAAGTCAAGGACGATGAGATGAGCAGGGCATGTAAAGGGAGAAGTAGAATGCATATAGGATTTTGGTGGGAAAGCCAGAAGGAAAGAGACCGCTAGAAAGACCAAGACATAGGTGGGTGGATGTTGTTAGTATGGATCTTAGAGCGTTATGCTACGTTTCCACGGGGTGTGGATACGAAAGCGTGCAACGCTTTCGTGCTTGCTTTCGTGAATTTGCAGGCGTGAACCCACCAGTCGTGGGTCGTGAGTAGTTCACACTGGCTGAAGTGTCCACGAAGACGTGATTCAGTTGATCGCGGAAAGCCGACCATGAACGAGCTCCTCATAGAAAGTTGTGCTGTTGTGAGTTCAGTTTTTGCTGCTATTTTAGCGCAGAGAATGAAGCAGATGGTGGAAATGAAAGGAAAACGGAAGAAAAGGCGATGGTGGGTTCGGAAGTGGATTCTAAAGAGGAAATTAGGGCCACATAATTTGGTTGACATGGAACTCAGAAATAGTTACCCAGATGATTTCAAGAACTTACTACGAGTGTCTGAAGACCAATTTGATTTCCTTCTGGAACGCGTTTCACCACTGGTCGCAAAATCAGATACTAATATGAGACAGGCAGTAAGTGCAAAAACAAAACTTCAAGTGACTTTACGATATTTAGCCACAGGAGACTCTTTCAAGAGTCTGGAATTTTTATTTCGTGTTCCAAAAAGTACAATTAGTAAATTCATCTGGTTCATCTGCATATAATTCCAAAAACCGCACAGTTTCCCTTTCTCGTAATTTTATCACCCGATCCAGTGTAGACATGGTAGAGGCAAACTCACGACTGAAAATCAAACATGTTTGATATGAAGAGTGAGCCCTCACTCTTGCCTGTGACGTCATAAGATTTTCCACGACGCTTCGTTCACATGGGTCGTACTCACGAATACCTGCCTCACGCTAGCGTGTCACGCCCCGTGGAAACGCGCCCTTAGGATGGGATGGTATGGACTGGATTTATCTGACTCAGGATTGGAACCAGTGGAGGGCTCTTGTGAACATGGTAATGAATCTTTGGGATCTGTAAAATGGTGGGAAATTCTTGACTTGCTACACAACTGACAGCTTCTCAAAAAGGGGTGATCTCTATGGAATTAGGTAGTTAGTAAATCAAGCTTTTTGATACTCACATGGAAAAGCAACATGGTTCAGTTATTTTTTTGAGCATGTAATTGAGTGCTAGTGTCATCGAACTTCTCCTATGATTTCTTATTGTTCAGTATCAAGCCTTGGATTTCATGATGGCCCCTGAATCAAAGCATGTAGTGTAACAAGACAGAATTGATTGATTTTAATCCATTTTGTTAAAATCATAACCACTGCAGTTTGCTGTTTTGTCGGTGGCCCCAGTAGCATCAGTGTTCTACACAACAGAATGCGAAAAATGAAAAAGAAATATATTGGGCTTACTTGTCGTGTGTTTATAAATGTCACTTCATCAAAAGAAAATATATTTAGTAAAATGAGCAAAGTTTATATTTGAGCAGAAGAGTAATGCACAGTATTAAATTTGCACAAAATCTGTTAAACTGTTTATTAGGATATATGGAAAAGTCCATTTATGAGCATATGTAAAATATGCTTTGTAATGAGTCAAAAACAAAACAGCAAACATTTTTAAAAAATTTGATCAGCGGTTTCTGATATATATGAAAAAGTTTGTAGCTCTGTGTAAAGTAGGTGCTGTTATGGTGTTTACCGACAAAATACAAACTGTAGCACACTAACGATAAATACAAGTATGTTGAAAAATAGAGCGCTGGTGAAGCTTATCTCTGTATTACCTAAAGTAGTCTTTTTCTCTTTCTTTTTAGAGGAAGAAAACTACTCTTGAGATTTTGGAGAGTCTAGAAAATGTAAGTAGATGAAGACTAATATGGATGTATCATAGTTTTATTCTAACCATGCCTGATAGATCCATTTTTGTAGCCTTGGTCAACATGTGTACATTAGTAGATTCTAAAGGGTTCTGACGATGGTGGATGACACACAGAATTACTGGGTTTTTGACACTTTTTCCATCATCCAGAATTCTAGGTAATAGAGGACACGATGTTTCAGAAACTGGATCTCTTTCCATCTTCAGGTAAGAAAGGAAGACACCTACTCAGTTGGGCCCCTTAGAAAGGATCCAGTAATTGAGATTAGCTCTTTCTAAGGGACCCAACTGAATAGGTGTCTTCCTTTCTCACCTGAAGATGGAAAGAGATCCAGTTTCTGAAACATCGTGTCCTCTATTACCTAGAATTCCGGATGATGGAAAGAGTCCAAAAACACAGTAATTCTTTATGTATACACTAGAAATGTCAGGTTGTGATATAAACCAAGTACAACATAATGCTTTATGTTTTGAATGTTTATATAGAAGATATCTTAATTCCCTTTTGTGTGCTGTTATTACTATTGCATTCTCTTTGTAAATTGTAAATTTCTGCACCAGGCTGGCGTAAGTGCTGTAGATGCTCAATTCGAATCTCAGTTGAGAGACCTGCTATCCTGACTGAGGTTTTTTGTGGTTTTCCTTAGTCACTTTAGACAAGTACCAGGATAGTACCTTGATTATGCCATGTCCTCTTTCTTCCGAATTCTTCCCAGTTCACTGTTATACATTTTACCATTTGTTGCTGTGTGATCTAGATACTAATAACATCATAAAGTAACCCACAAAGAAAAAAATATTTCTGCTTTAAGAACAGTAACAGTAGGAGCTGTTTTAAAGCCCATGCAGTTTTAATTTTTAAGTCATATTCTTTAAATGGTTTAGTATTAGACCTTTCATGGAGTATTACAGATATTAACATATAGTTTACTAATTTTTGTTTTCAGAGGATTAAATCAGTTGAAGAAAATAGACTGCATACAGAACAGAAGCAACGGAAGATAGTAGGCCACCTGATCCTTTATTCAGTTGGTGTATATGTTATTGCTGCAGTGTCCTTTTACTTTCTGTACTTTCCTGCCTCACTTCAAGATCAGCTATTTTACATTACACCGCTACTCATATTTCCCGTCATGTAAGTAAATTTTTGTTGTATTTCAGTAATCTACATCAGTTTCTACTCATTATTGATATAGTAAGAAAAGATGCAGGACTCTTCTTGGACACCATTAAGTAATATGTCATAGCAGTATATGTTTTCATAAAAACAGCGAAGAAATAAGTATATACAGTCAAGTTGCTGTCAGAGTAGCATTCACATATAGAATTCAAGTGTTGTTTCCTCTCCTTGAGTAATCGGAGCAGAGTCATTTTTTAGAAACTTTTTGATGCTCAGGTGGTCATAAGTTTTACTGCCTTTATGAAATTTGAAGGTCTATTAATGTGTCCACAAGAGCCTGCAAGTGGAGCATCTAGAGTCAGTTGAATGTAGGCTATACCCTCACCCCATATGTAGAAGGTATGTTTTAATTTGTCCTCTCATCAATGACTAGGTCTCTTCCTCTCAGGTTTTTAAACTAGAATTTTGTGCACACTCTTCTTCTCTCAGATGTCACATGCCCTGTCCATCTCATCCTCCTTGGTTTAATTGTCCTAAGAGACATATTGAGAAGTATTCTAATTAAAGTTGTGAAAACTAAGATTTCCTACATTGATCGCATGTGTAATTGTTTCAGAGTTGTTTTTGTGAAACGCCTAGTGACATGGTACTATAGACGCAAATTGACAAGCAACCAAGAGAAACTTCATGACATGAGGGAAGAGAAAAAAAGGCTGCTAGAGGATGTAATGGAAAAGGAGACATACAAAGTGGCGAAACAGATCTTGGAGAAGTTTGCACCGGACCAACTACGGAAGTCACCTGTAAGTTGGAGTCCGTTCAGCCGGTGCTTTAGTACTAATCCTGTCAAAGGAAGGGATATTCCAAAATGCAGTGACTCTGACAGTTATCTGGTGTAAACAAGTTTTGGTTTCTGTTCCTCCGTTACTGCTCGTATTTGTTTCCCAGTTCTCTGTTTACTGGTATTGAAAACAGTTACTTCTACAATATATGTTTTTCATAGTAGATATAGTTAAATTGTAGGGTACTATATTTGTAATCAACAGTATAATTTATAAAATAAATGATCATAGAGTTTTAAGTCAGTCACTACGCTAGCTGAGAAATACTAGTCATTCATGGCGCTGAACCCTACTTTAGAAGCAGCCAATTATGCAGCTACTCAAGAATTTCCCGGCATTTTATGGAACCCGAAGGTTCATAATTGTTCAGAAGAGCCCTCCACTGATCCCTATTCTTAGCCAGATGAATCCAATCCATCCCATCCCATCCTATCTCTCTAAGATCCATTTTAATATTTTCCACCCACCCACATCTTGGTCTTCCTAGTGGTCTTTTCCTTTTGGCATTACCACCAATATCCTATATGCATTCCGCTTCTCCCCCATTCGTGCTACATGCTCTGTCCATCTTATTCTCCTCGACTTCATCATTCTAATTATTCACTTACTTACTTACTTACTTACTTACTTGAATGAATGGGCCTTTTTGGCCCTTGCACTGCGACCGCAGTGACCTCTTGTGCCTCCCCTTCTGATTATCCCCTCAACAATGGTCGAATGAAGCATAGGATTTTGTACGTGGGGCATCAAAATAGTCACTTGGTTCCATAAAGTATTGACCCAAGTGACGTCTTAAATGAGCTAAGGCGTCACATTTACAGAGGATATGTGTGGCTGTTTCATTTTCTTCTTGACACCTCTCACAAGTGGGACCATCACTTAGTCCCAGTTTGAAGAGGTGTCCTTTAAGGTGACAGTGTCCTGTAAGTAGTTCCACCACCTATCATAGCTGGTTCCTGTTTAACTTCAACAGTTCCTTCGCTCTTTTCATAGAGGGTCCTCGTATGAGTCCCTTTGCTTGCCTGAGTCCAGTCAAGGATCCCCATTATATCTTGTGCTTCATGTTTGTCCAGTCCGTGACTGCCTGTCTGGCAAGTCCTATAGAGATGCCACAGGCTGGTTCAGGTCCTATGAACAGACATTCAGCTCCAGTCTTGGCCAGTTGTCTGCTGTTTTGTTTCCAGCAATACCCTCATGCCCCAGCACCCATATCAGTTGTACCCTGTTATGTTTCGCCAGTTCCATGAGAGTTTGGTGGCAATCCAAGACCAATTTTGAGTTGATTTGGTGTTTGTCAAGTGCTTTAAGTGCAGCTTGACTGTCAGATAGACTGTAGATGTTCCTATTTCTCTAGTTCCTATCTAGATTCTCCATAATACATGCCTTAATGGCATATACTTCTGCCTGGAATACTGTCATGTACTGCCCGAGGCTGAAAGTAAGTTGTAATATGGGTTCTTTTTTCATGTCCTGAGTTATGTATGCATGTCCAGAACTATAGGATTTAGGTTTCCATTGATCACTTCACTGGAGACGGTAGATTCCTGCACTGGCCTCTGCCTCCAACTGTAGATGCAGTGGGGGGAGTCCAAGGAGTGTCTCCAGTGCAGCTGTTGGAGATGTTTGAATTGCTCCTGTGATACCCAAGCAAGCCAACCTTTGCAATTTGCTAAGTACTCCCTTGCTTGTCTTGAGTTTAACTCTGGGCCACCATACTGTGGCGCCATATGTAATTGTGGGTCTTACAACTGCAGTGTATATCCAATGCACAATGTGCGGCTGCAGTCCCCAATTTTTACCAAACGTGCTTCTGCATGTCCAAAAAGCCTTATAGGCTTTATTGATGACCTTTTCCAGTTGCTTTTTCCATGTCAGTCTCTTGTCTAATACTAGACCAAGGTACTTGACATCGCTAGAGAGCTGGATCATCTTACTGAAGAGGGTCGGTTCCTTAAGGCCTTTATATTTCTCTTCCTGGTAAACGGTATAATTACCGTGTTATTAGGATTGATGGAAAGGCTTGTTCTTTCAGACCATCGTTGGACTGTGTACAGAGCTGTTTGAAGACGCTCTGTTACTCTCGAAAGGAATTTTCAATTTATGAGGATTGCTGTGTCATCAGCATATCCTACTGTATAATACCCATCGTCAAGTCCCCACAGGAGATCGTCCATGACCAGGCTCCACAGCAGAGGTGAGAGCACGCCCCCCTGCAGAACCGCCCTAGACGCGGATGCCCCCAGGGTCTCTCCTGATAGTGTGGCAGCTATGATAGCACTGATCCACCTGCATATTGCAGGCTCTGTGCCATGCTTTCCAGTCGCCTGTTTGATTATATCAAATGAGGTTCTATCGAAAGCTCCCTCTATGTCAAGGAATGCTCCTAAGGCAATATCCTTGTGTTCAATCACACTTTCTATGTGTGTTACCACATTATATAGTGCACTTTCGGTAGATTTACCTGTTTGGTAGGTATGCTGGTTTCAGTGTAAAGGATATGCCCTTAACGCCCCATCCCTGATATGCCTATCCTCTATTTTCTCCATTGTTTTCAAAAGGAAACATGACAGGCTGATAGGATGATATGTTGTATCCTGGTGTTCCCTTGGGAGTCAGTGCGGGGTGTCTGAGTACTGCAACTTGAAATTATCTAATACATTTATTGATAATGTACACATCTGTAGAGAAAACCATGTTGTGCCCCTTGCTGGAAAAGTGCCGGTACTCACTCACTCACTCCCTCTCACTCACTCACTCACTCACTCACTCCCTCACACTCACTCACTCACTCACCCACCAACTCATTCACTCACTCACTCACTCACGGAGCTGAGCCCTTGAGGAGAAGCTAAATCTGCAGCTACTCAAGAATTCCCCAGCATATTATGGAACCCACAGGTTCATTACCATGTTCACAAGAGCCCTCCACTGGTCCCTAACCTGAGCCAGATCAATCCAAACCATACCATCTCATCCTGTATCTCTAAGATCCATTTTAATATTGTCCCACCCACCTATGTCTTGGTCTTCCTAGTGGTCTCTTTCCCACCAGTATCCTATATGAATTCCTCGTATCCTCCATTAGGGCAACATGACCTGTCCACCTGATCTTCCTTGACTTGATCATTCTAATTATACTTGGAGAAGAGTACAAATTATGAAGCTCTATATTATGCAGTTTTCTCCCACCTCCTGTCACTTCATCCCTCTTCGGTCCACATATTCTCCTCAACACCCTGTTCTCAAACACCCTCAGTCTATCTTCCTCCCTTAATGTCAGAGACCAAGTTTCACACCCATACAGAACCACAGGCAAAATTATAGTTTTGTATATTCTAATTTGTATGTTTTTGGACAGCAGACGAGAAGACAAAAGGTTCTGGACTGAATGGTAGCAAGCATTAACCAAGTTCAGTCTCCTCTTAATTTTCTCCTGAATCAGGTTTTGATTTGTTATTGTCTTTCCCAAATATCTGAACTGTGCCACATTTTCAAAACATCTGTTTTCCATGATTTTGTGGTGATTTTTGCCCTGCATTTTGGTCATGAGACAGCAGCATATACGTGGTGTGTTCAAAAAGTATCAAACCTTTGGTCGGCAGAAATACATTTATTGATTTGGAGGTACAAAACCCTAATCCCCTTCAAAGTAGTCTCCTTGGTAATGCACACACTTCTCCCAGCACTTTATCATTGTTGGAAACACTTCTGGAACGAGTCTTTTGGAATGGTGATCAGCCGGGCCGTCACGTTCCGCATGATGTCTTCTCTTGACTCAAATCGGGTTCCTTTCAGCGGCATTTTCAGCTTGGGAAATAGCCAAAAGTCACACAGAGCCATGTCAGGGGAGTAGGGAGCCTGACGAACCACAGGGATGTGTTTGGCGATGAAAGTCTGAATCAGATGCTCAGAATGGGCGGGTGCATTATCATGATGGAGTTGCCAAGTTTTTGCTGCCCACAGATCCAGTCGTTTGCGCCGCACAGCATCACGAAGGCGACGAAGGACCTCCTAGTAATATTCCTTTGTGATGGTTTGGCCTGGTGGTGCTTACTCATGATGCACAACCCCACGGCAGTCAAAGAAAACGGCCAACATGACCTTGACATTGCTGTGGACCTGCTGTGCTTTTTTTGGCCTCGGGGATGTCGGATGTTTCCATTGTGACGACTGCTATCTTGGTTTTCGGGTCGTACCCATAAACCCACGACTCATCGCCTGTGATCACGGTGTTCAGAAAGTTGGTGTTACTGTTTGAATTGTCCAGCATGTCCTGTGCGATTTCCAGATGGCGTTGCTTCTGCTCCATTGTTAGCAGTTTTGGTACGAATTTCGCGGACACTCTCCTCATGTCCAAATCCTCGGTCAAAATTGAATGTACTGATCCAATGCTTACCCCTATCTCGGTCGCAAGTTCTCGGACTGTGATACGATGGTCCTCCATGACCAAAGTCCACACTTGCTCAATGACATTCTCATTTCAGCTTGTTGAGGGTCTGCCTGAACGCAGTTCGCTGTCCACTGATGTGTGGCCATCTTTGAAGCGGTTGTACCACTCCTTTATCCATGAGTTGCTCATGGCATCATCCCCGAAAGCCTGTTGAATCTTGCGAATGGTTTCAACTTGGGTATCGCCAGGTTTTGGCAAAATTTGATGCAATATCCCTGCTCATGTTGTTCCATCATTTTACACCTTACATGAATCCAATGAGCGCTCACTACACATCCTCACTCCTAGGCCAACTGCCAGCAACTGACGCTTTCTGCAGGCGGAAAAAAATTGACGACTGCGCATTAATGTCCCCTCCACATATCCACCGAAGGGAGCCTCTGCGCTTCATTGGTTTACACAGGAAAAAAGAAGGTTCGATACTTTTTGAACACACCACGTAGTTTTCTCTGTGTTTACTTCTAGACGTACCTCCTTACTTGCATCAGTTAAAGTTTATGTGTTATTCTTT